CCTCCGAGGTCCCAAAACCGTGTGGTGACGGACCCTGAGGTGCGGTCCTTGCGGATTTCGAGGACACCGCCGGGTCTGTCACCACACGGTGTTGGAACCCCTAAGCCACGGCCTCCCCGGGAGGGGCTCACAGCGAACACAGTGGAGGCCCCTCCAGGAAACACCCAGCTGGACCCCCTCGCAGGTCACCCAAAATGGAGGAGGAGGAGGAGGAGGAGGAGGAGCAGGAGCAGGAGGGAGGAGGGAGGTGGAGGAGGAGGAGAAGGAGGGAGCTGGACCCCCTCTTGGGTCACCCAAAATGGAGGAGGAGGAGGAGGAGGAGGAGGAGGAGGAAAAGGAAAAGGAGGAGGAGGAAAAGGAGGAGCAGGAGCAGGAGCAGGAGCAGGAGCAGGAGCAGGAGCAGGAGCAGGAGCAGGAGGGAGGAGGGAGGAGGGAGGAGGGAGTGGAGGAGCAGGATGGGGAGAAGGCGGAGCTGGACCACCTTTTGGGCTTAACCAAAATGGAGGAGGAGAGGAGGAGGAGGAGGAGGAAGGGAGGAGAGAGGAGAGGGAGGAGGAGCAGGAGGGGAGGAGGAGCAGGAGGAGGCAGGAGGAGCAGAATGAGCAGGAGGGAGGAAGGATGGAGGTGGAGAGGGGGAGGAGGAGGAGGGGAGGAGAGGAGGGAGGAGGAGGAGGGAGGGAGCTGGACCCCCGGTTGGGACACCCGAAATGGAGGGAGGTGCGCGCCGCTCGTGCGCGGAGCGAGAGAGTGGGCCGAGCGGGGGCGGCGGCGACGCGGGCGCGGCCGGGCTCCCATCATCAACGCCACTCGACATACGTGGGTCGGGGGAGGAGGGAGGAGGGAGGAGGAGGAGGAGAGGGAGAGAGGGAGGAGGAGGAGGAGGAGGATGAGGAGGAGGAGAGAGGAGGAGGAGGATGGAGGAGGAGCAGCAGCAGGAGCAGAAGAGGGAGGAGGAGGAGGAGGAGAGAGAGGAGGAGGGAGGAGGAGGAGGAGGAGGAGAGGAGAGGAGGAGGAGGAGGAGGAGGATGAGGGAATGAGGAGGAGCAGGATGATGAGGAGGAGGAGGGGGAGGAGGAGGAGGAGGGAGGACGGCGGAAGGTAGAGGGACAGGGCTGAGGAGGAGGCATGGAGATTGGAGGACGGGAGGCGGAGGGCGGAGGAGGAGGGGGCAGAGGGAGAGGAGGAGGAGGAGGAGGAGGAGGAGGAGCGAGCCGAAGGAGGAGGAGGAGAGGAGGAGCAGAAAAAGGAGGGGGAGGAGAGAGAGGAGGAGGAGGAGGAGGAGGAGGAGTAGGAGGAGGAGGAGGAGCGAGGAGGAGGAGGAGGAGGAGAGGTGGAGGAGGAGGAGGAGAGGGGCGGGCTATGTCTCCTTCAGGGGCAGGCACCGCCGTGCTGGCAAGCGCCGGGAGGCGCTACATAAGCTCCACTCCGGTGGTTCCGCTCCCAGGGCGGGGGCGGAGGCGCACCGGCCCTCGCGGCGATGGAAAGACGCAGCCCATTTCCATCCTCCTCCTCCTCCTCCTCCTCCTCCGCCTCCTCCTCCTCCTCCTCCTCCTCCTCCTCCTCCCAAGCAGTGCTTCGGCGGTTTCGTGGGCCGTTTTGCCTCTGGATTTCGTTTGGCGGCAAACTGGCCCCAGGCCCTGGCTCCCCGGAGAGCCCCCGGCCTCCGGAGGCCTCCTTCGGGGGCCCGACGTAAGGTTAAGTCGGACCTGTCCCTCGACAGGGGGACTATTTTTGACATGTTTTCGCATTGTTTCCGTATTTCCCCACATGCTTCGTGGGGTTCTGGTTTTCTTCCCTGCCGCGTCGCACCCGCGTCTCACCTCACACCTCCCCTCCTCCTCACAGCACTGCTCAGCACAGCTTGGTCTCTCACCGCGGCGTCTATGCGTGCCAGGGTCGGAGAGCGTGGTAGGCGTGGCACTTTCTCGACAGCAGGGGGGGTGCGCAGGGAGTGGTCTCTCACCGCGGCCCCTGTGCGTGCCAGGGTCGGAGAGCTTGGCAGGCGTGGCACTTTCTCGACACCAGAGAGGGTGCGCAGGGGGTGGTCTCTCACCGCGGCGTCTATGTGTGCCAGGGTCGGAGAGCGTGGCAGGCGTGGCACTTTCTCGACACCAGAGAGGGTGCGCAGGGGGTGGTCTCTCACCGCGGCGTCTATGCGTGCCAAGGGTCGGAGAGCGTGCAGGGCGTGGCACTTTCGCGACCACCATGAGAGGGGGTGCGCAGGGGTGTCTCTCAACCGCGGCGTCCTAATGCGATGCCAAGGGTCGGAGAGCGTGCAGGCGTGGCACTTTCTCGACACCGGAGAGGGTGGCGCAGGGTGGTCTCTCAACCGCGGCCGCTATGCGTGCCAGGGTCGGAGAGCGTGGCAGGCGTGGCATTCCTCGACACAGGGGGGTGCGCAGGGGTGGTTTCTCACCGCGGCGTCTATGCGAGCCAGGGCCGGAGAGCGTGGCAAGCGTGGCACTTTCTCGACACCGGAGAGGGTGCGCAAGGGTGGTCTCTCACCGCGGCGTCTATGCGAGCCAGGGTCGGAGAGCGTGGCAGGCGTGGCACTTTCTCGACACCAGAGAGGGTGCGCAGGGGGTGGTCTCTCACCGCGGCGTCTATGCGTGCCAGGGTCGGAGACCGTGGCAGGCGTGGCACATTCTCGACACCAGAGAGGGTGCGCAGGGGGTGGTCTCTCACCGCGGCGTCTATGCGTGCCAGGGTCGGAGAGCGTGGCAGGCGTGGCACTTTCTCGACACCAGGGCGGGTGCGCAGGGGGTGGTCTCTCACCGCGGCGTCTATGCGTGCCAGGGTCGGAGAGCGTGGCAGGCGTGGCACTTTCTCGACACCAGAGAGGGTGCGCAGGGGGTGGTCTCTCACCGCGGCGTCTATGCGTGCCAGGGTCGGAGAGCGTGGCAGGCATGGCACTTTCTCGACACCAGGGGGGGTGCGCTGGGGGTGGTCTCTCACCGGGGGGGGATGCTCTTATGCTGCCGGGCCGAGAGCTGTGGCAGGCGTGGCACTTTCGCGACACCAGGGGGGTGCGCAGGGGTGGTCTCTCACCGCGCGTCTATGCGTGCCAGGTCGGAAGACGTAGCAAGGCGTGGCACTTTCTCGACACCATAGAGGGTGCGCAGGGGGTGGTCTCTCACCGCGGCGCCTATGCGTGCCAAGGTCGGAGAGCGTGGCAGGCGTGGCATTTTCTCGACACCAGGGGGGGTGCGCAGGGGGTGGTCTCTCACCGCGGCCCCTATGCGTGCCAGGGTCGGAGAGCGTGGCAGGCGTGGCACTTTCTCGACACCAGAGTGGGTGCGTGGCAGGCGTGGCACTTTCTCGACACCAGGGGGGGTGCGTAGGGGGTGGTCTCTCACCGCGGCGTCTATGCGTGCCAGGGTCGGAGAGCGTGGCAGGCGTGGCACTTTCTCCACACCAGAGAGGGTGCGCAAGGGGTGGTCTCACCGCGGGGTGCGCAGGGGTGGTCTCTCATGCGGCGTCTATGCGTGCCAGGGTCGGAGAGCGTGGCAGGCGTGGCACTTTCTCGACACCAGGGGGGGTGCGCAGGGGGTGGTCTCTCACCGCGGCGTCTATGCGTGCCAGGGTCGGAGAGCGTGGCAGGCGTGGCACTTTCTCGACACCAGAGGGGGTGGTGCATTTAGTCAGGCGTGGCACACCAGAGGGGGTGCGCAGGGGGTGGTCTCCCTATGCGTGCCAGGGTCGTCCAGGCATTGCAGGCGTGGCATTTTCTCAACACCAGAGGGGGTGCGCAGGGGGTGGTCTCCCTATGCGTGCCAGGGTCGTCCAGGCATAGCCTCTAGTGCGGGATTGCGTATTACCTCTCGTATCCAAGTGCCAGGCGACGCCGGATATGACCGTCACAGATGACTCCTCAACCCCTCCTCTCCCCCCACACGTCCTCCCCCTCCTTTCAACGACCACAGGGGGCACCTGAGAGCATGACGGCGGTGGTAGTGGTAGCGCGGTTCACACAAGACATAAAATCAGTATGTGGGGTTCCTCGGTAGCGTAATTTTAGTTTTTCCCCCAAAGTCGGCCTGTAGGGGGACAGGCCCGACCTAAACGTAAGGGTCAGAGGCGCGTCCGGAACCTGCCCCCCCCCCCCCGCCCTCGATCCTCGAGAGGGTCGAGTGCAGAGCGTTCCTGGGGGGTGGGGGGGCTGGGAGGGGTGGTGGTGCAGGAGGGCGGCATAACGTTACGACGTAACGCCCCCCCCCTCCCGCCGTGTGAGTCTGGCACCACAGACCTTGGTGCCGGACGCACTGCGGCAGTGTCGGGTGACGCATTGGAGGAGGGGGGGAGCATCACGTTGTGGGTGGGCGGGGGAGAGGGGGAGGTTGGCCACGCGCAGAGGAGGGAGGTGGGAAGGCTTCGTAGAAGAATCCTGCTTCTTTTAGAAGGCACGGACCTTGTCTATAGATGTAGGGCCGGCGCCTTCTTAGAAGCAACCTCCTCCCCTCCCTTCGCCTCCCCCCCCTCCCTCCCCCTACGCCCCTACCCCTCCCCCTACGCTCCTGTACGCGCCGCCAGACGAGGACAAGGCTAGGACGAGGACAAATCCGTTCCAGAGCGTTGCAGAACGCTCTGAGAAGGCCGCGGCGCCCGAGACATCCTCCAGAGCCGCCAGATCTCAGCGATTCTCGATTCGTCCTCTCCCGAAGTTATCCTCATCCTGGCTTCGCCTTAGTGGGGGAGGGGGGGGGCATAGCTAACGTTGTGGCCTAGAGGCCGCCGAGCGCGTTCCACGACTCGCAAAGTGCCCACTTGCAAACGTCCGACAACAAATGTCTGGCCCGACGCCATAGGTCGTAAATCCCTCGCGGCGGATCCAGGCCATTTGCGAGTATGAGTCATTGTGCGAGTAGTGCAGCGCGCTTGCCTAAGAGGGTAGAGGAGACGCTCGGGCCTCGAGGGTCGATGGGGGCAGGGCTCTTCGGGCGCGGCAGTGCGGGGCGCCCCTTGTGCTGCGAGCCCCGAGCGCTGCCGGCCGGGGCGCGCAGGAGCAGCTGGTCTCCGTGCAGCCGTTCCCCATCGGCGGTGGAAGGGGCTCTGGGTCGGAGAGGGGAGAAGCGTTAAGTCGGGCGTGTCCCTTTGCAGGAGGGGTATTCAAAGATAGTCAAAACCAACTCTGGGGACGATTTTGTGATGATGTGTTGACCATTTTGGGTGCGCTTTGGGTCTCATGTTCATTTGTCGCCCAAAATCCGCCTGTAGGGGGGGGAGCCGCGCCACCAGGAAGACCCCCCTTGCCTCCTCGCATCTCCTCGCCCTGATTCGAAGAATGACAAAGCACATAAACATAAACTTTTGCCGCTCCGCGCGGATTTCTTGGATCCGCGCCTGGGCCCCCCCCGACGGCGCCTCCAGCGCCGCCCCGGGGGGTCCAACGCGAATCCAAGAAATCCGCGCGGAGCGCCAAAAGCTTATGTTTATGTGGTTTTGTTCTTCGTCTACTGGTGGTGTTGGTGTTGCCTTTCCTGGTTCCCCCTCGAGTGCAGGAGGGCTGAGTCTGAGGCCGAAGCTTTCGGTACGGTCGGGCCGAGACAGATCGAGGCGGGTTCGGGGAAAGGATACCCTCATGCTCTTCGTGGTTGTTGGATGTTCCTGTACATCCTGGAGTGTTTTGAGCGGCGGTGGGACTCGAATTATGGAATGATGCTCCTGAAGGACGTTCTTGAAGGATCTTCTTGAAGCAGTTCAGGAGGGCTGAATCTGAGGGGGAAGCCCAGAGGAGGAAAAGGTACCGATACCGCTACCCTTCCCTCGTTTTCCCCTTCTAGGGCCTCCTGGAAGGCCTTTTCAACACCGTTAGATTCGCCTCGAAAAAACTGGTCAGAACGCACCCCAGGAGTGGTCCGGGGAGTCGCGGCATCGGTACCTGTTGCTATCCCCAGAAGCTTTCGGTAGCGAATCATGGGAGCCGTGTATACCCTCTTGATGTACGCCTTTACAGCTCACTAGCGGCGATGAGCGTGTGATGATCGATGAGATAGTGCCGATCTAGCGTCGATTAGCGTCGATGCAGCGTCGATCCAGTGTCGACTCGCGTCGATTAGCTTCAGCCAACAAGATGGTATGGGTGGCTCCCCTGAGTTGTCGCAGAAGAAGCTGAGGAGCATTTGCCTGTGCAAGGTGACTGGCAGTGCGCCGTCGGTCGCGTAGCGGCTAGGTGGATCCACCTGTGCACCATAGCCAGACCCATGGCCACAGCTCTTTCCCCTGGGGGGCAGGGGCGGGGCATACCCCGATTTGCGTTTGAGCTCGCGAGGTGGCTCTTTTGTTGCGGTGGCGCGGCCCTCCCGCAGAGGCCCTTCCTCTCTCGGAGGAGGAATCCGGGCCGGGCTAGGATCAGGATAAGAATCGTTCCACCCAGGCCCCCTCGCGCCGTTAAAACATGTTCGACGCGGATATCCCAAAATGTGTTCTCAGTTCCAGGCACGTCTTGTTGAGAGCGCCTGTCTGCGTGGATTTGGGTGTGTATCGATATTGGTGCCCCACCCTTTGGGGTGTTGAAACCAGCACCTTGCTCGGATCCTCACAATCTGTAAGAGGAGTAGGGAGGAGAAAGAAGAGGATGCTGAGGGGGACGAGAGTAGTGAGGAGGGGAGTGAAGAGGAAGAGAAGGAAGAGTGGGAGGAGGATTAGAAGAGGAGGAGGATTAGAAGAGGAGGAGGAGGAGGAGAAGATGGTGAGAAAGAGTGGGAGGAGGCGGATGAACATCCCCCCTCTTCCTCCTCATCATCCCAGCGCCTCGCCCAGACATCACGATCTGCCTTGGCCCCCACACGACACCCTGGTCCCCACACAGGAAGCAGAGGAGTCTGGGCCACCAGACAGGCAAACTGTTCGAGACATCTCCGCAGTCTGAGCGCGGTCGGCCGAGTGTCCTAACCCCTGGCGGCTCCCCCTTGGGGTGCTGAAGCCAGCGCCTCGCTCGAAACATCTTCCCAACCTGCTCTGGGAGCAGGGACCTCCAAGCAACCAAACAAGCAAACCGCCTGAGACATTCACAATCTGGCCGCCAACGGGCCCGTGCAATACCCCTGGCGGGCCCTGCTTGGGATGCAAAAACCAGCGCCTCGCTCGACACATCCTCGCAATCTGTTCTGAAAGAAGAGACGCCCAAGCAACCATACATGCAAACCGTCAGAGACATCGCCACAATCTGCCCCCGACCGGGCTCATGCAATACCCCCTGCCGTGCCCTTCTGGGGGCGCTGGAACCAGCGCCTCGCCGGAGACATCCTCACAATTTGTTTTGAAATCGGCGAAGCCCAAGAAACCAAACAGACAAGACGCTCGAGATGCCCCCACAACTTGGCTACGAACGGACCGGTGCAGTGCTCCTGGCGGCCCCCACCTTGGGGTGCTGAAGCCAGCGCCTCGCTCGAGACGTTCTCACAAGCTGCTCTGGCGGTAGTGAGTTCCAGGCAGCCCAATGGGCAGCCTGCCCGAGACACCCTCACGAGCTGGCCGCGGGCGGGCCCGTGCAATGCCCCCTGGCGGACCCCCCCCGGGAGTGGAAGCCGGCGCCTCGCTCGGGGCATCCTCGCAATCTGCTGTGGAGGCGGCGGGACCCAGGCAACCAGAAAGGCAAACAGCCCGAGGCATCCCCGCAGCCCGTGAGTGCGTCTGAGTGTGAGCGAATCCGGAATGTGAGTAATCTGACTGTGAGTGAGTGCGAGTGCGAGTGCGCCCGAGTGTGAGCGAGTCTGAGTATGAGGGCGGCTAATTTCGAGTGGGTATGAGTGTGAGTGCGCGAGTGCGGATGAGTCTGAGCATGATTGAGTCTGAGTGCGAGTGAGTCTGAGCATGGGTGAGTCTGAGTGAGAACGAGGAGTGGGGGAAGAGGGAGGTGCGTGGTGTGAGTCGGAGTTGTCTGAGTAATGACATGAAACCCGTCTTAGGGGAATCATGGCGGAAGGCTTCTCGCTATTCTTCTAGGGGCCCTTACCGGACCTCGGGACCGTCAAACAACGACACAGGACGGAAAGCCCGTCCCTGGGAAGGTGTCCACGCTATGAGACAACAGTGACATCGGGGTTCTGGGCAAGGCGTTCCCGAACGCTCTCAGAGCGTTCCGAGGCGCTCTGGAACGGCCGTGGCGCCCGATACATTGTCCAGAACCGCTGCATCTCAGGTACGGTGGGAGCGTCGGTTAAGGAATATGCCCAGAAGGCTTCAGACCCTGGGGGATTCCTTGTCTGATGAGGGCGGCGGCGATATCCACGACCCAAGCCTCGGTTGGAGTTCCACTGGCTTCTAGACCCTGGGTTCCTCATCCAACGTTGCCTTATCCAGTGCCCTCACCTGCCCTCACCATATACCCGATCTCTCCCGGTCCGACTGCACTCGAGTTATCCTGGGCCAGGGCCTCGTCTTGGGAAACGGCGAGGTCGCCTCTAGGGGCGCGAAGGATGCCCCGTCTCCGCGCGTCGCGGCCTGGGCCTGGGCAGCGGCCCTTCCCCGATGTTAGGGGGGTGGGCCTGGGCCTCCCAGCCGGGGGTCGGAGCGGATGCAGGACGAATCCCAAATAGATATTAACCTGGGTTTATAATGTTCCGGGAATCTTGACCAGGGTTCATAAAGGGCCTGGGCAGCGGCCCTTCCCCAATCGTTGGGGGGGGGGCCCGGGCCTCCCGGCCCGGGGGTCGGAGCGGCTGGGTTCGGAGAGAGCGCGCCGCGCCGCCGAGGCATCGCCGATGCGGCTCGCTGTGGAGCCCGATTGGCCTCGCGCCGATGCATCGCCGATGCGGCGCCGATGCGGCGCGCGATCTTCCGACCCCATCTGCAGTCGGGTCGCTGAAGGAGGAACCCTTTCCGTTGGGGACTTGGCATCGCTCGGACGTGTGCATTGTTCCTTCGGCGAGGACCATCGAGGAACATCCTTGATCATTTCGCGAAACAACCACGCACGAATCCGAAAAAACACAGGAAATGGACGTCCGAGCGATGGCCAGGGGAGGGGCTCCGTGTTCCTCAATTGTTTCACAGCTTGCCTCAGGTGTTCCTTATGTTTTCGATGGGGAAGTCGAAGTTGAACTTACGGAAAAAAGAAGCCTCGTTTCTTATTTCGGGTTCCTTAGGTCAACGCCCCGACTGTACTCGGACCCCATCTAGGAGGCCTCCAGTGGGGGGGGGAGGCAGCGCGAGGGGGCGGGAGCGCATGCAGGTGCCCTTCGCCTGTTGTCGACCCTCTGTGCCCCTTCTGGGGGGGACCTCGTCGCCTCGGCGGGATCCGCTTCGAGGTCTCGGTCGAAGCGCGCTCCAAAAAAGGGCCGGGGAGTGGCGGAGCCGGTACATGTCGGCGTCCCGGCCATGGGCCGAGATGAGCCAGAGGGGGTCTCGTCTCGATAAAAAAAGGTCTGGTCCGCGTCCTCGGTCGGCCGAGTTCCTTCAGGTGATGCAGGGAGGCCCGAGTACTGACCTGATTCAGTGTGGCCCTGAGGGAGCAGTTCCACGGCTGATGGGTCAGGTCACTGTTCGGGCGGCCCTGGTGGCACTCCAGCAGCCAGCAGCTCCCTCGGGACCCAGCGCTGACCTGGCTTCTTTGTTGTTCCCTGGTTGGACAGGCCGCAGAGCTCTGGGAGAGCCCCATGGCCCGTGACGACTCCTTTCCCTCAGGACCCCGACGCGTATCCGATGCAGCAGGGGCAATGCTCGTGCCACTCTGTGGGGTGGGGCCGCTGAGCACTGCCTGCGATCGAATCGCGTCAGCTCTGCTGCGCAAGTCGAAATCAATGTCCAGTTGCTTGCGGCAAGTCCCGTCACCGTGCGAGCCCAAATTCTCCCTGAGGCAACTGCTCGAGGGGCGACAAGAGGCTGTAACATGTGATTCGAGCGGCGTTAAATGTCAGAGTGGGAGGCCCGAACGGTCACTGTCCCTGGGGGCGTGGCTGAAGTGGGACTCCACGGCGCGGATTTTGCTTGTTGTTGTGGTTGTTGTCGTTGAACTCTCATTACTGAATAATGTTGATCCCCCCCTCTGGGGCACATAATGTGTTTCAATTGAAGTGCCCTTCC